TAGAAGAAGAGAGAGATCACCACGAGGTCAGGTCTTAAATAGCGGAGGTAGGCGTGGCTTAGTAATTGACCTCCGTGATGTATGGCGGTGCTGGTTGACCCAGACCACGAGGCATACACTGGGGAATTCACGGGGTCGGCTACTCAGCGACAAACAGCGTTTGTAGGGGAGAAATCCACTACAGTACTCCCCCCTTCCCTCCAGGCGGTGTAGGAGACTTGTTGTCTGCAGGGTTGCATAGCACATGTGAGGGAGAATGGGCAGTGCATGCCACATGTGAGCCATAACGGCGATGGCGTGGATGAGCCGGCCGCTAGAGGAGACAACTGTCTAGATACACAATATCTGTGGGAGTAGAGAGGGAGAAAAAGGGTGTGTGGAGGCGATGAATGTTGTGCTTCCCTCACGGCAGGTACAGAGTCGTCAGATGCGCCTGCTGGGGTGTGTGGGCCTGGGTCAGGAGCAGGGGCTGCGTCAGCAGAAGCGGATGAGGGCTGGTGACAGCAGCTGGGTCCATGACAGCAGCAGGGTGCAGGGCAGTAGCAGGGAGTACCTGAGGGAGAAAAGAGGGGTGTGTTGGTCCGCACTCAGGCGCATGGGTCGCGTCGGGAGCAGGGGCTGCATCAGGAGGAGCGGCAGGGGGTACTGCTGGGCTGGGGGCGGCGTCTGAGGCAGGACGGGTGTGCTGGGGTTGGTAGGACGTGGTGCGTGGGGCAGGAAGAGGAGCTGGTGTCTGCTTAGAGAAGCAGTGCTGCTCTAGGGTGTCTAACCTGCGGTTTAGAGACAGTAGCTGTAGAGCCGATGAGAGCTGCTTCTGGGTGGATAAGCCAGTCTTCCATGTTGCTTGAAGACTGGGAGCGTGATCTGTTTCTCCTCCATCCTGTGTGAGTGCGAATCTCCGGGAGTCACCATTTGTGGGGTATGGGATGTTTGGGTTCACACTCAGGATGGGATGGAGAAAGGAAACTCACAATGTGCTCTCTGTATACACGTTGTATTGGATGTACAATGCAGCTTGGTGCTGGGAAGGCAGCATGGTTACAAGCGTGATGTAGAGAGAGCTGGTTGGTGAGGATGCTCAGAGGAGGACAGCTTGTGGGTCGCCATGCTCGCCGGCGGGAGCGAGGACCGCCAGGCAGCGGCGGAGGAGGTGGTGTTGCTTGCTGTGGCTGTAGCTAGAAGAAGAGAGAGGTCACCACGAGGTCAGGTCTTAAATAGCGGAGGTAGGCGTGGCTTAGTAGTTGACCTCCGTGATGTATGGCGGCGCTGGTTGACCCAGACCACGAGGCATACACTGGGGAATTCACAGGGTCGGCTACTCAGTGACGAACAGCGTTTGTAGGGGAGAAATTCACTACACCCTTCCGGTTCATATACCTAGACTTTACAAAAGAAGGATGAAAGAGAATATGAGAAACCTTGTAAACTGTGTTCACATCAAGAGACATAACATAGCAACATATTAAGTCCCTCTGCTTCACCAGGGTGTTGGAGACCACTGTGGGGGAAACTGTACTCTGTTCAGTAGAAGCCTCCTCAAACTCTAAGGAACTCATAGAAAACGGAACTCAGTATGATTTTGACGGGGAAACTATTCAAGACGACTCACTCCCTGTCTTCCCGCCAGTTTTTTCACCGCCTCGCACACAACCACTCTTCGCCTTGTGTAAGATGATTTGTTGTGAGTTTATCAGTTTCTTGCCTAAATTTGACTGTGTGTGTGTGTGTGTGTGTGTAAACCACATGTTTAAAAATAAAAATATTATAGAAATCATAAGGACATATCTTAATCTGTACTCCAAAAGTGAACAATAACTTGAGGAAGCACGGGTACATACTTCTTTACAGAGTACCATCTTTTACTTAAACTCTCTCTCTCTCTCTCTCAGTTATACTTGGGAGAGATTTACAACAAACTAACAATATTCTCAAATTTGTTTTTCTTTTCAGGAGGCCTCGAGTATGTTACCGGCTGTCGGGCTGTTATACTGTACTGTCCTGTCCACACTCTTAAACCCCACCCACCACGACCACTATTATCACAAACATTACTATCACCACCAATACCGCTGCTACCACAATCATTAATATCACCACAACCACTAATTCCATCTCTACTACCACCACTACGCACGCTGCTCTGAGACGTAGGTACACACACACAGTTGGGTAATGGTTGTACAGGAGTGAGAGTTGTGAACTCTTGGAACAATCTGCCAGAGAGTGTTGTGACGGCACCGAATGTGAGCTGTTTCAAGACCAGACTTGACCAACACTGGAGCAGGTACAGATACATTCAGGAGCCAGTGCATGCCCAGTACTTGCCAATAGTGTGTAACAGAGAGCTAGTACCTGCCCAGTACTTGCCAATAGTGTGTAACAGAGAGCTAGTACCTGCCCAGTACTTGCCAATAGTGTATAACAGAGAGCTAGTACCTGCCCAGTACTTGCCAACAGTGCCTAACAGAGACGTGACCGATCGCCCAAGCCGCTAACGAACCGATCAGTGGTGAAGAGGATAAAAGTAAAGTACAAGTTACACAAACTCGTCCACTTACACAATTTTTATTTTTACTAAAACTGACAATTCGTTACGCCTTTTGTGTTTGGGTTATGGCGAATGTAACTTGGTTGCGACTTGGTTGTATAATGGTTTTATATTGATTGTGGTTTGCATTTATATTGGTTGGGAGTTGGTTGTATTTTTCCTTACGTCTTGGTTGTCAGTATCCGTGTGTCCCCCACATAGTCATCCATACCATTAAGTAACGCTGACTATCTCTACTGGGGTCTTTGTTTAAATCATAATTATTTCCAGAGTATGTTGAAACGAAGGCAATTTTTTTTATAAATTTGCTTGTTTTATATATCAGTAAATTCACGGTAATTGCAATTAAAAACTAATAAAATTTATTATCTGTGCACATGTACTGTAGTAATTTGTATTTGTTTTAACTAACTTGTACTTTAAGATCAATTTTATATATGTGTTAAGATAGTTTTGATAATGTGTTAATTTTTTACCGACTACTATTTGTTGTTCATTTATCAACACATCTCTTTAATAGATTATATTATATCTTCGTATTTTAATTGTTATTCTTTTCTTTTTCTTTTATCCTCTTCGCCATTGAGGACAAGAGAAAAAGTATTCAGATGTATCAAATTTACTTTTACCAGTACTGTGCCTCTGCCTTCACGTGTGTCACCTACAGTACAGTACATAGTGTGGGTGTTGAGCACAGCCACGTATAACAACTGGTCCTCTGCAGGTCATGGTGTCACCGAAGAATGTTATAATGGGAGAATAAAAACACTGTAAATAATTTTATAATTAACAGTGTCACATTTGCTTATTCTATTTATGTTATTTATCTGATAATTACCAGTTTATTAAACTTGCTTTCAAAACTGTTAAGAATGCAAGTGTATATTGTATGCTTGCTCTTTTGACTGTGCCTGAATATAAACAATAATATATACTGTACAATACTGTAAAACATTATAATAAACAGATTGCGTGTGACTTCCTCATTATTTGATTTGGCGGACATTTTACTTTGGCATATAAAAAAATCCCCAAGGGTGCCAAGGTGGCACCCATCATATACGGCATTATTAGGGGCTCACTTAATACAAATTACCAATAAAATATTGTACAGTGCCACAAAACTTACTTCACGGTGACGTCACCAATTGGCGGCATAGGGACTAAAAGAAAAAAATACTGGAGATTGTAAACACAAAAGCGATAAATTGTGGAAATAACTTAAAGTCTGTACAATGAAAAAACCTGTAAACTCAAGTATAAGTAAACTTAACCTTTACTCATAGTTTTGTATCATTTTGTTGCTTCATCAAAATTATCACGTGTGTTCGTCCATCTCTGGGTGTAAGGAGCGAGTGTCGCCCAAGGCAGAGATTCACACATTATTTAGTGTTGTTCCTAACGTCCGAGTGTTAAGAGAAGGTCTTTAATTTGAAGCTTTTTTATGTTATGTTCATGAGTTAGCTCATGTCTGCATGTTAGGTGCGGAGTTACATGTACATACAGTATGTCCTACCAAGGTCTACTGTATGTGGACTAACATGAGTCAGCAGGTAAGTTACTGCTGCCAGTCACCGCTTCCACTGCGCACCTTCCTAATACCTATCCCTCCTCCTAGTCACAGGCCTGGCATTTGACATTATTAGGGACCTGCCACTCTTTGCCATAAACAGATAAAATGTACCGGGAACTTTCCCCCCACACACTCATCATTCTCTCACTTTATGTAACTTGACAGAACCTATGACCCTTCAGGCTTTTACGCCCTCAATGTACGAGTCATAAAGGCAAGTATGAACTTTTCATACTTCCCTGTTGGGCGCTGTAAACGCTTCTGCGCTTCACCTTGCACAGGATGTAAGGGGGTGCCCAATAAACTAGCCCCCTCGGGGGCAAATCTGAATCTTCCTAATACGCGCTTACGCCAATGGCGCGCGCTCGCACACACACGCGCGCGTTATATATACAGTGTGTTCTTATGTGCCCACCAAATTTATGGTTGTATCAAAAGCATTCAGTTGAGGAACATATTTTGGTTCACCTGTCGTAATATATACTGTATATAATTGCCGGTTAGCGATAAATTCTATGTATTTCTTACTTTCGGAAACTCCTGACGCCACAGATGATCCTGTAGATTATAATAATACTGTACAGCCGCGTGTAGCCAAACACACAAGGGCTGAAATATTTACAATGGTTCTCAGTAACTAAATCCAAACGACAAAATGTAGTCTTCTGAAGAACATGAATTGCAGAATTGATTCCAGGAAGCCTAAGATAAACAGACAGCAATAGCCTTGGAAATCCCACCAGATACTTGCTAGAGTCCTCAAGATGACAGTAATATTACACCATTACTTGGATGAATCATGCATACAATTACATCACATCCGTAATATCTGAAGTTTTAGGTGTCGGTCACTGATACAGATTATTATGTCGTTAATTGAAGTCAGCCGCACCCTGCTTCCACCACACCACACCGGCTGATAACAGGACGACGCCTCTTCACGACTCCCTCCTGCAGCCCTCTGTTGCTATCCCAGTCTCTTTCCGCCAGACATATATAAAGGTCAGTCTTTGGCTGTTGTCCACAAAGGTGTTCCGCTTCTGCTGCTTCATCATCAACTATATTTTTCCGGTAAGGTCTTCGTTGGTTAGTGTGTGAAGCTTTCTACCCACGTCTCGTTTTTACTGATCCATCTTTGGTTATCTTGAGCAGTAGTCTAGTGGTGTTTTATTGTAGGGAATCAACCCACATCTTCGAACCGGGTCTCTTGTATCCACGTTATGCTCCTTATATAAGATTGTGATATTGTTTGATTATCTGTTGCTTGCTGTGCCAGTTATTAATATAATAATAGCACACGATACACACTAGGCTCTCATAGTAAGTTTTCTCTAATACAGATGGACTTACGCTGAATCAATTTACTCTGACGTCACAGGGCACCATAACGCCATCCACACGCCATAATAACTGTGTTTCAACATTTCACTTATCAACTGAGGTATTAGATGATCATAAGAAAAAAGCTGATTGCTATGTCTCGGCCATCAATCGGTGAAAACAAGGTCTGACTATATACTGTAGGCTTGGGTGAAAATACAACACATTAATTTGCTTTAAACGGGCTAGATGAAGTTATAATAACCAGGCGAATGAAGATTATTCTTATAGTAATACATTCATAGATATTTCATGGTGAAATAATGCCGACGTAAATGTCTAATAAATTGCGTCTAAAAGTAGTCTGGTGGGGGGAGGGGGTGACCGAGGCCTGGACGGACATTATCTCTTTCTGGAATTTGCTGAATTTTACATAAACTCCATCTGGAATGTATTTCCTGATAAAGGTTTAAGCTTTCATAGTAACAACATTTGTGTGACCTCTCCCTGTCCTTTGTGTCACAATAATACTACACAAGGAACACTGCTTAGCTTCATAAATCATGGAAAACCTCCAGTTTATATTTACTGTTATATTATTGGTCGAATTTTTAAAAAAATACGAAAATTATCAATTTAAACTTGGAGTTAAGGGCCATGTAAAAAATTAGATTAGTTCTCGGTCTGTATTTTAAAAGCAGCTTGGGTGGGTGGAATTTAATCATTTCATTGTATTCTATATACCTGTGTGTTTGTTTTTTCTCGGCTATCAAACTACAGATCAGGAATCATCTACTGTACATGGTTGTTAAATGTATCAGCTTGACTTGTGTGCCAGATACTCTAGCTGTAGTACAGTCAAGTGCTTCCCTCAGGTTGTGACGCGGGCCACAGGTGACTTAAGGCAAGATGACTTGGAGGCGACTCGTCCTGCTGATGGTAGTTGTGACGGTGGCAGTCACGGATGCCCAAAGAGGTACTATTGGTTCCAACCGCAGAGGTAGGTACAGTAAACCATGTTTCCCTTATGCTCGGGTATGATCTCCACTTGTCCTTTCCACAAGATCGGAGGATGACTCTTGGGTAAAGCATGAAGAGCTGATTTTTTGACAACGTTTAGTCCACCAGATCGAACTTATTTCTCTTGTGTTGAGGAAACATCAAACCAAGCCCAACTTTTGGTCTACCGTGATGAGGAAATAAACCAAAGGTCAAGATCAAAACATTCAGCTGGGAGCTTTTGTTTTACTACACTTTTAGTTTTGTTGTTTACTGTTCTTTTAAAAAAGTATATTATTTTCATATTTTGCGAGTCTGCCCTTCCGAATGCCTCTTTACCAAATGTTAAACCATAGTATCAGTGAGTCATAATAATTGACACTTATTTAATAAGAACATAAACGTTGTAACAATAAGACTTTGTCGTGTTCAGCTAACTGCCTGCATGTAATTATTATTTTCGTCGCCGTATCACAAGTAGTGGTACGTTCACTGTACGCTGCCCCCCCCCCCCCACCATGTCATAAACAAAATACCCACAATATGTATGAGTCACTATTGAAAAAATGCCCAAACATTTCGCAGTTTCAGCTTCCTACTTCAAATAATACCTGGACATCGTCCAGACTACCGAGAACACTAACACGGGAGCGACAACTGCCTCCCTTATACGCTCTTTGCTCGGCACCTGCAACACGGTCTGTGGGGAGGGGGTGTATACAATAGGGCCTACCTGCTAGTGCTGGTCACAGAAATTGGAACCAGTTCGAAAACATCGGGCGATTTAGATGTCTAGATCACAAATATTTGTTCTTAATAAGCATATAAATATTGACACGTACTGTGCAGTTCCGTACATCAGGTGATTTAGTTGATATTAAATTTAATTATAAATATTTACTCTTAATAAACACACAAACACTGTAAAATGTTTACACAGTGTTACAGTTTCCATAGTTAGTTAATTACTCTTTATGAACATCTACAGATCCATGCTTACGCCCCTGCCCAGCCATCTGGGCCCCGGTGTGTGGCAGTGACGGTGTGACCTACGGTAGTGACTGTGGTCTCAAGGCTGCTGCCTGCAGGGACAACAGCATCACTAAGAGCTACGAGGGGGAGTGTAGTAAGTAACAAAAATATAAATATTTTCTAATATGCGAATAACATAATGAATATTACACTATTTTGCTTTTATTGCGATGGTTTAAATGAATTAGTAAGCAATGGAATGAAAAACTGAAAGGATTTAAAAGTTTTGATTCTTAAGTAATATAATTTCTCTCACCAAGAAAAATAAAATAAACAACTGTACTGTATACATTAAGGCTTCACATAAGCAATTGCAGTGTCTTCTGTAGTATGATTACCCCTCTTCTGTTCCCACTGTAACATATATATATATATATATATATATATATATATATATATATATATATATATATATATATATATATATATATATATATATATATATATATATATATTATAAAACAAAGAAATATGTCTGTTTGTGTGTGTGTGTGTGTGTCCGCACGAGAATCTCGGAAACTACTTTACCGATCTGTAGTGATGATGGATGGTGTTTTATGTAGTGATGATGGATGTTGTTATATGTAGTGATGATGGATGGTGTTATATGTAGTGATGATGGATGGTGTTATATGTAGTGATGATGGATGGTGTTATATGTAGTGATGATCGATGGTGTTATATGTAGTGATGATGGGCGGTGTTGTATGTCAACATCTAATTGTATCTGATAATTTAGATGTACAGTGTTTCTGGTACGCTACTCACACTTTGGTAGATACTAGGTAAAGTTCCCTCAAGTTTGCAGCTACAAATTTGGGGGAAAATCAGCTTGCGAACAAATTAATTCCCTTGTTTTCTTCTTAGGTTGTGAGAGAACGCGTTTTCCATCATCCCTGTTTTATCCAAACCAACCTAACCTAACCTAAACTAGTGTAACCTAACCTAACCGAGGATGACCGAAACTAAAATAATACCTTAGAGATCTTTCTAAGTCTTAATAATGGAATCAATTTGAGTGTTATGCGCCAACTTGGATTTCCTACTTAAATTATATAATACGAATCAACCAAACCTATCTTAATCCAACTTGAATAAATAACCATACCTAACCTACCTGTGATAGGTACCGTAATAACCAAGTCCAATATAAACCAACTTAAAAGAAATAGCCAAACGTAACCTAACTTTAGCCCCCCCCAAAAAAACCATTCAGTCAGGTTTGGTGGGGTACCTTAGGTTGATTAGTGTTGGTTAGTGTTGGTTAGTGTTGCATTGTTTTTTGTCAGGATCACAAGTCGAAAAAATTCCAAGATCCAACAAAATTCCATATTGGCGTAAAAAAACTGAATGACAGAAGGATGAAGTGATTGATGAGGCAGCCCGCCCTTGTTTACATTCTCACAGGCTCTAGGAGAGACACTGCTACCACATATTTGTTGAAATACTAAATAAATAACTAAATAAATAAATTACTTACCTTAACTGCAGTAACGCCGCCTTGTAAATATCGTTAGCTTTACCTTCCACTGTTCGCTCTACTCTTAGAGCGCGTACACTAGTTTGTTCACCTACTAGTCATCAATAAACACTAAAGTCTTACACTAGTTTGGTTCATGCTGTAAACAATTAAAGTTTGTTATGCCACTAACGCCCGTATGAGGCAGCGAATCACTTCACAAGATGGTTGATACGTTAAACACATTCCACGAACTGAGCTTTTAAATTTAGCCAACAATTTTTGCTGTACATTGTTTAGGTAACAATGCGAATCTAAAGTAACCTAAATACTCTTGATAAATTTTTATTAGCTTATTTAGGATACAGTGGTTCCTGTCAGTCGAAAAATAAATGGTGTCCCTGTCCCGTTGAATGTACCTGAGCCGCCCTTCTTGTACGTTATTCCAGTAAGCAATGGATCAATTTCTCTTTTGCTTGAGCTTTCCATTTTTTTTTCTATAAAATATTTAATTTATTCTTATACACAGTAGATAATTGATGAATTTTCACAAATTTCTTCTAAAGTGTTTAACTTTTCAGCTTAACACGTTATGGAGCACGGACCAACACCCTCGTGGCCAGCCGTCAACACACAGCTCCTCCAAGGATTGCTGGCACTAGAGCCTGGCGTTTCCTGTGTTCGAATTTGATCTTTGTTATAGTCATGCGTCTATAGCAAGTGCCTTGCGAGTTTAATAGCTTCTTCAGTATGTTACACGCGATTTTGGAACCTTGGGATATGCATAATTCGACGATAAAAACAAACCTAACTTAATGAACTTAACCTTGACTTATTTTTAAGTTGGGTTAAGTTTGCCTGGTTTATGTCGTACGCTGTAACCCCCGGGGCAATCCAACAATGCGCAGATTTAATCTTTTATTACCCAAAATTTTCCACCATCTGTACATTAGGTTTAAATGTTTAATATTTGGGAATTTTGATAGTTTTTATCCATTTAAGTGTTCAATAAATATAATAAAGACGAAAGTTAAGGTGCTCCGTTGTTTCCCTTTCCCCGTGTGATTTTATGAATATATATATATATATATATATATATATATATTTTATACTTATTTTGTGAATTCTGCTTGATGCATTATTGTAGGCCTATTTACTTAACATAATTGTTTCTTATGCATAATATACTACATCACACCTATTTTGCGTCTGTACTTCCTAAGGCTTCAACAGTAGTTCAAGCCCGTTTTCCCTTATAAGTACTGTACTGTACAGTACAGTGCAACACGTGACCATTCACCTTTGTGATTTCAGACTTCCTTCATAAAACAATAAGATAAAACATTAAGAAATTATAGGTAAGTGTTAGACGCATTATACACCAATTGAGGTATTATATTTTACTGTACCTGTTTATTTTTTTCTTCTTTCATCCTAACGCCAGTTCAAGTATTTATGTATTACTGTATATAATTTATTTTTCATCACTGAAATTTAGTTTTGAGAAAATAAATCTGAAGTGAGGGTCCAAAGAACATGCGTAGTGGAAGACTTCAGCATGGGGGCAGATGTTGGGGTTTGACATTGAGATGACCACACATCAAAGCAAACAATGACATATCCTGAGAAACTCTGGGTCCATAGCATATTGCAATGATCTGTACAGCTTCAGCAATGACATATGATATTGCAGTCAAGTTTTCCAAGTTTACATAAATGACATCTCTTTTCAAGCTTTTCACAACTGTACCTCTGCCAAACCAAATACAGTGGATTGGAAACAGTGTCACATCTTGTCAGAACTTGGACTGGCATCAGGTCTTCAGCCAGACTTTGATGCTTCTTGACTGTAGCATGATTATCACCTGTGGAACTACCTGGACTAGTAGGGACCATGGACAAACTGCAGGTTAACAACACAAAAGCATCTGTGTTATCACATACAACTTTGATGCTACCTGCCCCCTCTGAATCCAAGAATGCTGCCGGCTGCACAATACTGTAATCACATCTTCATGCGTTGTTTTGAGATCCTGTCCATCATATACAACACCCTTTCTTTGTCAACAAATCAGGATGATATATCTGATAGCAACAGATGTCTTGTAAGGTGCACTTTGTTTTCAGTTACAGTCAATCCCACTTTCTGTGATGGTAAAGGTGTGTTCAAATGTAACTATAGTGATGTCTTCTGACACCTTTTCCAGCTCTTGAAGGGCGTGTACATCCCTTTATTCTGTGGTCATAATATCTGCCAGAAAGAAGGTAAAAATCACCCACATACAGTTTATCAATAATATGTACAGTAGGTGTGTCAACAGATTGTCTATAAAAGTTGTGTGTTCCATTCATTGGCCAGTGATTAACCCACAGCAAAGCACAACCATCAAATATTATAACATGAGGATGTTCCACCAGATAGCTACAGGTTTCTATTTGTAGCTTCCTTTTCAATGCTAATTTTGCTTTTGCAGTGCATATATGACCATTATCTTCCAACAAAGATAGTGAAACTGGAGATAGCTCGTATCTGAGCACATTACTGAGGTCAAAATCTCAGATTCCCTGAAACTCCAAAACTTTTGAATATATCACTCTAGTACTTTGCCAGCTTTGGCATTTTCTTGAAATTTAAAATTGCTACAACCTGTTTCATTAAAGTCTTGTTTAATACAGTGGGTGATTTGTTGCTTCAAAATCCTTCATAAATTGATGTGTGCCTGTTGCAACAGATTATTTCAGCAATTACCTGAGATGGGGCAATCCTCCCAGTTATTGTACTGTACTAATGAGTCCATTGTGACAGCCATCTAGTTGAAATGGATCAATTCATGAAGTACAGTATTGTGTTGCAGCTTCTCCCTATCGACAGCATCAACCAGGATACAAGCAGGCATTTCAACTGTGTGGGTTGTCGCACATTTCTCTTTTGTATCACACTGTCCTGACCAGTTGGCTACATACAGTAAAAAAAATGTGAAGACTCAGCACACAGTTTCAATGTTGATGGCTTGAGGTGTAATCCCTATTATAGCAACTGGGCCAACACCATATCTCATAAATGTGGATTCTATAGACATGTTAGACCAGATGACATTCCAGATACTGTACCAGGCTTGTGCCTCATTACATAACTACTGTACCTTCAAGAAATTCACACAGTACTTTATCAGGGAGCTTCACAACACAGCATAAATGAAATATTGAGGACACCATCTTGTATTTGACATCAATTATATATCAACTTAACATATGTGTGTGTGTGTGAGTGCAGAATTATTATCCTGTATTTTATTCAAATCCTCAACTCACAAGTTATATAAAGTGTTATAACTGTTAGGTTGATAATAGGCCACACTGTTTATGGTTCATTGTGTCCGTGTAGCGTTTAGACACAACACGGAGGAGGCGACACTGAACTAAACCTCTGACTCTAGTGTGTCATTCCTGCAGCTGTACTTAGTGACGTGGTTATTTTATTTATTGTTTTATCAGGAAATTGAGTCTTAGAAAACTCAAATTACCCAAAACACAATAGTCAAATGAAATAGTTTAATGGGATAGTTTATCAAAGCCTGTGAACTCAAATTCTCCATCACTAGATGTCATAATAGTTCAAATAAGCAGAGGAAGTAGCACCCCTCACTGCAGGAGGTTGGGGACATGACCTTCCTCACCCAGGGATGTCACTCACTGCCAAAAGTAGGTGGCAGAATGTTATTGACCACTACGATGTTATTAAGAGGGAGAGAGCGGCTGTGGTGACGAGAACTGGGGTGGCGAGTCCTTGCCTCACTCACTCGTGTGTGTGTGTGTGTGTGTTTCTGACCAACTGCAAAACTCCTTTATGCCACAATTTCTCTATATACAATTTTGGGGGTTTACAGTGTTTAACCACTTGTCTACAGGATCCCCTCTATGCTGAATAAAATTGTCTGGTATTGGCCAAATAAAATATTAAAATTAGTGTCCCCATATTGAAGGGGTTAAAGGAACAGGAAGTTTTGTACCTTGGTTGCTGTTGTGTGGATGACATTCGCCTCCACTGGGGGCGCCGGTGGGTAGAACAGTACCGCTCTTGCCTCGCAAGCGAGATGTCACGGGTTCGATTCCCGGGCCGGTGGAAAGTTGTTCGGACACACTTCCCAGCCTCCCTTGGTCCCTGTTCACCTAGCAGCAAAGTAGGTACCTGCTGTAAATCGAAAGTTGTGAATTCGTATTCAGGGACAAGTTGTTGGAACTTCCAATAACTTGCTTAGACATAAACCACTGACTCTTCAGGCTTCTGCACCCTTAACTAATGAGACAAAAAGGCAAGCATGAACTTAGCATGCTTCCCTGTTGGGCGCTGTAAACGCTTCTGCGCTTCACCTTACACAAGGATGTAGGGGGGTGGCCCCCCCCCCAAAAAAAAAAAATCACCTCCACTCCTCCCCTCTACTTCTTGTGATAATTGTGTCAAAGAACATTTACTGTAGTTACCTGTACTTAATATTATTACAGAATTAAGTATACACAGTTATCTCAGTAATGGTGATATAATTAAACATAATTTAAGTGTTAACTTCAATGTGCTGGAGTAGCTACATAGTTATCACAGCTGTAACTTCTGTACTAGGAATGTTCTATAATGTTATTGTAGCTATATTCAGTACAGTACTGTAATCTTCTTTGCATAAAGGCCAGAAACCTATAAGATTCTGACTAGTCTTACAGTATTATGAACAACACATGGAGAGCTGGTTAATAGTGATGTACGTACAGTACTGTATGCTACAGTGACTGTCTGATTCATCTGGAACTCTTTACACATTTACAAATTCTGGGGAGAACAGTAAAAAGCTTGTTAATTATTTCATTATTATTAATATAATTGTTTATTTACATACATAGACAGTTGAATAAATCATGTTTCAGGTCCATATTTACAGATCAATACAAGTTCAAACAAGCATAAAAAAATCTTCAAGTAATAATTGGTGGAAATCAGTACAATAACGTACACGGTATAATTGTCCAATTAGGTTCTTCAGGAAACACTAAAAAAGCTGCAATACCTTGCACACTCATTGTTGCACGTCAGAGGTTTTGCTGAATACAATACATACTGTACTGTATACAGTATCACCTTGGGTAATATAAAGCTTTACAAGCTAACATTCTAACTGTGATGGAAACTGGACATAAGACAGGAGGCCATCACAGCGACCAGTCATGACAGTGGTAAGATAATGTCTTTTTTCTTCACCTCCGAGTATACCAAACTCAGCCACAGTTTCTTCCTTTCCAACAAAATGCCAGCCTTCATCATCCACCCTCCTGTTGTACTCCAGTGACAATCTATCCAGTACCTGTTATAATGAAAAGTTTTTATTAAAGTAATACTGACAGTGGAAAGTTAAATGTGCATGTCATTACTGTTCATACAGGTGTACCTTAAACAGAACCTTTTCCATATACCAGTCCATGACTATCCCCAAAGTCATTTTCCAGGATGACAGTATAGTGTGGTAGTGAAAGAGATACAAAATATAAACTTACTGTTTCAGGTTCATTTAGTAAGGCAATGTTGTGAAGAATGCAAGAGGCCCTCACAAATTTGCTGTTGTTTTCAACATGACGGTCTAATTGCTGCATACGCTTGAATCTAGATTTGAACAAGGCCATGGCATTAGCGGCCAACTTAAGAGCTTCTCTGTGGTTTTCATTAAACAATGCCTCCTGGAAAAACAAGTAGAAAAAATTATAATGCCATCATATCCTCTATGAAACTCCATTTTAAGAGGAAATGGTAATTAACTAACACTGACAAGTTTACTATTACAGTACCTCATCAACTCGCTCTTCCACATGATTACAGTTTCCTGACAACTCTGATCAGCATAAAATTAATAAAAGTATTTTAAACAAGTACAATATGTAACTTTACAATGGTCCAATTAAAATATACTGTACAATATTTATATAGTTTAGTATCAATTATTTTTAAAAAAGTTGTTTCAGAAAAGAGGCTCTACCCACCTGGTAAGATAAAACATCATTCATGTGAGGTGTCATGATGGCTGGTGCAAGAGGATACACAGCTGGGGCAACAACATGTGTTTCTGAACTTGTAAGATTTTGTAAGGTAAACCAAGCACCTGATTCCTGGAGGATGAAATATAAAAATGGAGGATTTATCCCAAAATTCTATTTTTATACCAAGCCCAAAACTACACTCATTTACATTGGGGTCTGTTAGTACTGGAATGCATTAGGGCTCAAGTACAACATATCAAATAAAAAAAATACAGTCAGCTATGAATTTACACTTTTTTTGTAGTTTCACTTGTACAGAACTTTATGATAAGTTGACTTGTTCAATGCAGGAGCAGGTAGTACAGTTGGTCCTCATATTACGCGGTCCCGCATTCCGCGTTTCACCGTTAACGCGGTGCCTTGCCAGAACCTAACATTCTTACATTCCGCGGTCGCGAACGCCATTACGCGGAGAGTGTCCGGCGCGACGCTATTTTTAGATTTTCCCCACGCGCCGCCCGCCCGCCTGCCTGCCTCTCCCTCCTCCTCCCTCCGCTTGGGCAAGCGGCGCGGTAAGGTTGCGCAGTGTGTGTCTTTGTTGCGTTATCACTGACGTCATATGACGTATCAGACCTGTGATTGGCCATGCATCCCTACCCTCCTCTGCTGCTAGCTGTAATTGGCTTAAAGTATTATGACGTGTCCACCCGGGGGAGGGAGGGAGGGAGGAAAGACGACGCTTGACCTAGCCGCGCAGTTTCATCCCTCAAGGCCACTCCGTGTAAACGCGCATCCATTGTTCCGTAAAATGGCTTCCGCCGGACCACCACCCCCAGAGAAAAACCTTTCCTTACCTGCAAAGCATAACAGATTTCTTCACCCGCAACCCACCACAGCCAGCCCAAGCCAGTGATAGTGACAGTGAAGTTGACTTTGAGGGATTTGTCAGGGAAGCCCTGACAACTGTAAGTGACAGTGATGATGATTCACCTAGTAATGGTGATTCACCTGAGGGCCAGTAATCTGCCCTCTGCCTCGGAACCAGCCTCCATCCCCGTATGCCGACCCATCTCTTCTACTACCGTAAGTGTTACACAAAATTTTTAGTTTTCTAACCTAACCTTTATTTTTCCTATGTTAACCTTTATCTTTCCTAACCTAACCTCTTCTATATTACTTGTTTTTTCATACCATCATAAAGTTAAGATAAAATTTTTACTACAACATAGTTGTGTGTCGTCAAAAAGTGGAGTTTGGGGATCGGCCTGGACTCCATTTCAATTAATCCCATATGTTATGTTGTTCACTTTACGCGTTCCTCACTTTCCGCGGGACCCTCCGGGTTACATTAACCGCGTAATATGAGGACCAACTGTACACTACAATAGCTCAAAGGTGAATTCATTTTTGCTTTTCTTCTTAATATTACTGTATGTTTGCTGTAAGTATTTGTTGTTTTGTAAGAATCTGTTGTATTCATTTGTTTGATGGTTAACATTTTTTTATTTATGAATCTTGGGTATTACAATAATAATATAATCACTGAACTAGTTAGGAGAGTCATGCCTTTTGGTCTGTGTGTTGTACCACTTCTGGCTGGGTCATTCTCTGTTCAGCTGTCACAGAGGCAAGACCACTGCACCTTCACCGTTGAACAGGATCAGTGTTTAGGTAAGTGCTAAAAGTTACACATAGCATACATTAACTAACACATACACATACTGTATAACACATCAGTAAGGTTTTTCATTATTTGAAGCAATATCTCCAGATATAATAACACTTAATATAGTCACGTAACCTAGCACTTTTGTCATCATCGTTATGTTATGGATCTACAATTATTCAATATTCACCTTTGAGAAAGTTGTTTGTTTGTTTTCCTGCAGTGAAACACGATGTACACAGACAAAAGTAATAATGAACCTTCATCTTTTGGAAAGTCTCTTTCAAGATTCTTCGAACACTGTTAGGCAAGTTCAGGCGCTCCAATCTCTCAGGGTAGCTGAGGTGCCGAATGGCAGGCACCAGTCTAGTGGCCCTCCTTTGGACATTTTCAATCAACTGACAGTCCCTAGCATTTCTTGGGGACCAGTACTCCAGACGGTGAAGCACCTCTTTCTTGAAAATCGTTACGAGGGATGGACTGTCTATATATCTGAACGACCTTCTTATAAGACCTAATAATTTGGTTGCCTGATTCACCTTCTTCTCACAATGGCCCGAGAACTTGAGCTCGTTTTCATCATACACACCTAGGTCCTTTTCACATTCAGTCTCAATTAATGAAATTTCTTCGTCCGGTTGGGACATAGGATATGCCTTCTTACCGTTGGTACGACCCAGGTGCAGCCTCTTACACTTCGTGACATTGAATCTTAGCAGCCATTTCTTCGACCATTCTTGAAGATCACACAGATCTTTCTGCAGTTCTTAACAATCTGTTTGGTTCTTAATTTCCCTAAATAACTTGGCATTGTCCGTAAACATTTGTATGGAGGAATGTACAGCGGCAGGCATGTCATTTATGAAACAAACAACAACAGGCCCAGTACACTGCCCTGTGGTACCCCGCTTGTTACGGGTACACATGACGATTTCGTGCCATTAATCACTATACACCTGCTTGCGATCATGCAGAAAGTCTCCAATCCACGCTAGGACACTTCCCCGAATACCGTACCCTTCCAGTTTAATTCTCAGCCTTTTATGGGGTATGGTGTCGAAAGCCTTGGCAAAATCAAGACATATATTGTCGATATTCCCACCCTGTTCCAGAATTTGTGTCCAAGCATCCATTACCTTATATTAATTGAGTAATTATGTTAAACAGGAACGTTCCGGCATAAAGTCCTTGTAAAGGGCTGCCAGCACGGCAGTCCTTTACAAGGTTGCTTTATATATGTTCCATCATGGCATCTCTTCAAATGCTCTCAAGTACTTTACATGCTATGCTGGTCAGGCTCACTGGTCTATGGTTGTTCATGGAGTGGCGATCGCCCTTCTTGATGATAGGACTCACATAAGCTATTTTCCAATCACTGGGGATCTTTTGCTCATCCAGGCATCAACAAAACAGGATCTTCAGGGGCTCAGCAAGCTCGTTGCACAACTCTCTTAGCACTCTGGGATGCACCATGTCAGGGCCGGGACTCTTATGAACCTTCAGCTTTAACAATTTATTTCTTATAACCTCGTCTGAGAACACATTGTGGGTAAGCGAGGTGTCGAATCGTCTGTTCTCAAACGCAGGAAGATTGTTCGCATCCTCCTTTGTGAACACCGAGGAAAAGAAACTGTTCAATGCCTCCGGCTTGTCCTGGTCGGAATCTGCATAACAACCATTCTCAAGTCTCAGGTCCGATACACCGAGGCTATGATGAAATTTCATAAATGTGATAGGTGGTTTTATTAATATTTTTCAGCTGAAAACTTGCTGGTTAAAATACAGTGTTTAGAATTTGTTGGTTCCCTGTGTTTATTATGAAACCAAGGATTTGGAAGTACATTTTCTAGCATGTCTGTGTTTTATTCCCAATTGAGCGTCCACATTTTCCACCCATCTTAACAAAAATTTCACAGGCGGCCGTCCGCCTTGTCCTAGACTAGGCACTTTTGTTCTCCGGTCACCACCAGACAAAGATCAAGATCACAGCTCACTGGAAAATCTGATTCCACTCTATGAGACTTTACTATTAATTATTGAACTTAATAAAGTTTCATAAGCGAAAGTGATCACTATTCCCCAGAAAATATTGTACTCAGTTGACCACCTAAGGTTAAGGCAGTTTCAACCAAACTGAGTGTGTTTTAAGTTCACGACAATTGTAAGACTCGGTATGTCTTAAGTTCACGACAATTGTAAGACTCGGTATGTCTTAAGTTCACGACAATTGTAAGACTCGGTATGTCTTAAGTTCACGACAATTGTAAGACTCGGTATGTCTTAAGTTCACGACAATTGTAATACTGTACTTAATATATCTTAAGGAGCAAAAGAAAACCAACAGTTAAGAAATTATTATATATATCTAAATCATAGTGTGATATAACCAAAAATTTTATAACAAATTTCATATAATAATTATTTCGAGTTTCGACAACTTTGTACAGTACTACAGTATTCTGAAGTGAGTGTCTAGTTCAATGACAATATCAAATGTTGTTGGAAAGAGTCATGAAGTAACCCTCACGTTTGATGCTTTCTGACCATGATGATTCCTCACTCTTGTCCCTCCTGCTGTCTGCTGGTGGTGTCAGTCAACCACAGGTGAGTACAAGACCTTCTTGGTGGTAGTGGCAGTGGTGTCAGTCAACCACAGGTGTACATATACAGTAGTCCCCTGATTAACGAACACAATTGGTTCCACAGAGTTGGTTGTTAACCGAAAATTTTGTTAACTGAATCTATCATGTTAATGGGATATTGGGTAATTGGTTCCAACTCACAGAAAAAGTACATACAAAGTACTGCATACCGGTAATAGAATTAACAAAACATTAAATATAAACTAAATACAGTACTGTACTGTACTGTACAGTATAATGTACAATAATATATAAAAAACTGTATGTCGTATTCCCGGCAGCTTTGTTTACATATCAAACAGCTGATTGTAGAGGCAGTCGATGATGACATGCCATATTCTTTACAGAGTGCATTGGATCTAATGCCTTCTTCATGTTTCATAATAATTTCTGCACTGTATATTATCAACATGTTAACTAAATTTCAGAATGACCAATAATTTTAATGTAAAAATGCAAAAATATTCAAGAGACCAACAAATTCGATATTCACTCCACTATAAACAACGTTAAACTGAGAAGCGTTGGTGGGTGATTCGATCAGCTGATGGGCACACAAAAATTGTTCCCTGTACTGTATATATTATCAATATGTTAACTAAATTTCAAAATTACCAATAATTTTAATATAAAAATTGTAAAAATATTCAAGAGCGCAACTTTCTTGATATTTACTCCACTGGAAACGAATGTAAACATAGAATCGATTACTGTATTGGCAGACTAGCCGATCACAACAAAGCGTGTTTCTCGTAAGGCTTTCGTTAATCGAAGTTTAGTTCGTTAATGGAACTGAAAATCCTTATGGGAGCTAATTCGTT